TTGCCGGGAACTGACGATTGCTAACTTCAAGAAATGCAAATTTGATAGTTGTACTTGGTTGTCTAAGAAAATGAGAAAGTATGAGTTGAGATTCAAGAATTCACGGGGGTGGTCGAGGGATAGATTGCTAGATGCAGAGCAAGTGAGAAAGCTCAGTTGCGTCAGATGGCACATAGAGTTGGGGAAGGAATCGGTGAACATATGGACCAGTGACTGACAAATGCAGAGAACCCTGGCCATGTCCTGTCGTCTACATATGTCTGCCTGAGAGTATCTGCTACGATGATCGGCGACTGGGTCGTCCCCTGTCGTTGTCGGTGGGGACAGCATTCGGCCTTGATTCCATTGTAAATACCGTAAATCTGGGAGAAATGTGGTTTTTCTGCCTACCCCCGGGAGTGAACCCGGACCACAATGAGTTCGTCACTCGCTCACCGCGCAATCCGGTTTGGCCAACTACGCTAGAGAGCAGGGCACACACAGTTGCAGGTAGTAGCTTTGGAGAGGCATGATCCCCCACGACAGTCGACAAGACACTTGATGATGATGAATATCCATAAACTGATCAAAAAGCCACTTCTAGACATTTCTACCTGTGAAGTGCGATCAATGGAAGAAAGCTATGTGACCAAACAAACAGCTCGGATCACTTGTTTTGTTTCATCGCAGCTTTGTCCGTATTGATCTTCTTCTTCTTCTTTCGTTCGCTTGAAATAGATCATCTATATCTGCAGTGTCGTCTCTAGTATGAACTTCACTGCCTTTTGTAATTCACTAAGCAACCGGTAAAGTTTGACTTGCACCGGTGTTTCTCTTGGCCAACAGTTTTGACTTAATTAGCTGGATTTGGGACAGTCTTGGAGGACAGTTGATCAGGTGCTCCGTATTGATGTTTGTATTTCCCTTGTCACTTTACTTTAACTCTTTGAGTCCCAAGGACCGCATCATACGTTCATGGCTTCCTACCTAGAAGCTTAATAAACGCATGATGCGCTGATTTTATGACTTTATTTACTACCCCGTGGGCCTGTAATACTAAGCACCTGGGACTCAAAGAGTTAAGAAGGCATGAAAGCAATGAGCTAACAAAAGTAGTGAATTACAAAAACACCGGTCAGTTTTGTAATACCATTCTAGATAAATGAAGTTCAATTCCTACCGCGACTGGACAGCGAGATATTAACACCTGGTGACACAAAGTGCCACTATTCGAATGAGAATCATCCGGGTTAGTTAGTCATAGGTCATAACTCTCCGTATCTATTGGTTCGTTGCCACGTGATTTAGGTCTTGGATGTTCATCAGGCCCATGGTTGAGCTTTCACTGATGATGGTTCCACGCAAAGTCTCTCTTGGTCTTTACTTTTTCTTTTCCCTTTCAGTGCCCATATGAGGGCTTGATTGGTGAGTCTTATCTTATCCATTCTGAGTACATGGCTGGTGTAGTTCCGGCGTCGATTTCTTGTCAAACTGGAATCATTATCTTGCTTGGTCTCTTGTCTTATCCATTCTGAGTACATGGCTGGTGTAGTTCCGGCGTCGATTTCTTGTCAAACTGGAATCATTATCTTGCTTGGTCTCTTGTCTTATTTCGTCAAAAATTATTCAGCATCCAGTCCAGAGGCATATAAGGCAGAGACAAACTTTCGCCAATCAATTCGATCCTGAGCCATCCTCTCTAACTCCAGTTTTGTCCTTCGTGTAGCCTTGAATTCAGCCTCAAAGTTTCGCCGCCAAGTGGCCCTGGACCTGGAAATATAGGGCTAGACGTACATTTAAAGACAAATCGGCACTTGGTTGGTGATGCGGTCATCATCAGGCCGGCCGCTTTTACTTTCCAGGACTGCAGTTTGTAAAGAAAAATGTATGTGTATATGTTGTGCATATGCGATGGGGTGAGGTGGGGTGACATGCGTATGTTTTTAAAACAGTATGTGTGCGGTATGTATATGTGTGTATTGAGGCATATTAAAGGTTAATATTCATTGCATCAGGTTTTATGCCCTGTCTATCTCCGCAGAACCACTAGCTGCATGCGGAAAATATCACACAGGGCACGAACTCTGTAGCTCTGGTGACGATCTCCAGGGAGCTCCGTAAAAATTGCACTTGTGAACTGAACGGCGAGCTGTGAAACGAACCCGCTACCTACAGATCGCGAGGCAAACGGCTTGACCATATCGTCACAGAGAAACCCGCAACGAGGCTATGTGTGTGATATCTATATGCGTGTGATATCTATATGTGTGTGATATCTATATGTGTGTGATATCTATATGTGTGTGATATCTATATGCGTGTGATATCTATATGTGTGTGATATCTATATGTGTGTGATATCTATATGCGTGTGATATCTATATGTGTGTGATATCTATATGTGTGTGATATCTATATGCGTGTGATATCTATATGTGTGTGATATCTATATGTGTGTGATATCTATATGTGTGTGATATCTATATGCGTGTGATATCTATATGTGTGTGATATCTATATGTGTGTGATATCTATATGTGTGTGATATCTATATGTGTGTGATATCTATATGTGTGTGATATCTATATGTGTGTGAGATCTATATGTGTGTGATATCTATATGTGTGTGAGATCTATATGTGTGTGAGATCTATATGTGTGTGAGATCTATATGTGTGTGATATCTATATGTGTGTGATATCTATATGTGTGTGATATCTATATGTGTGTGATATCTATATGTGTGTGATATCTATATGTGTGTGATATCTATATGTGTGTGATATCTATATGTATGTGATATCTATATGTGTGTGATATCTATATGTGTGTGATATCTATATGTATGTGATATCTATATGTGTGTGATATCTATATGTGTGTGATATCTATATGTGTGTGATATCTATATGTGTGTGATATCTATATGTGTGTCAGACAGAGAATATGTATAATGTGTAAATGTGTGTATGTGTGTGTGTGTAACTATGCAAAACGCGATGGTATTTAAGGGCGGTTATGTGTGTGGTATATCCGTGTGGGAAATGATTTGTGGCATATTTTTTGCCAGATTTAGGTATAAGCTAAATCAGCTGGATCCGAGGGCCTCACAAAATTCATAAATTGTCACAAACTCATGTTCCTTCTAAAATATTAGAAACGCAATTTTCTGCTATTCGTGGATTATCTTCCATAATTTTAGGAAGAAAATAGGGACTTTTGAGCTTATATGCTAAAGAAGAAATACTGACGGTTTAGAAAAAAGACTGAACATCAAGGAAGATTTGCTCATAAACAGTATCTTGTTTCGGAAGCTGCAACATTTTTGTTGTACTAAGCACCATCGTGGATTGGGGGGAAAAATAGTAGCTGAAGGCATGATACCAAGAAGGAGGAGCAGGCACCGATCAACATGAAGACGGGTACAGGATATAGAAAAATACACTAGGCGGTAGAGTTGGTGGAAGACCAAGTTTTTTGCAGGCAGACTGTGATGAGAGCGACGTTATTATCTCCCCACAGCCAACCCTTTTTTCCAGACATTTGTTACGCAAAAGATCCTTCGATGGTCTTATCAATTGTTTTTGCATTTAGGAAGTCAATCTTGTGGAGAGGGGTGTAAGTTGTGTCTTAGAATCTTTCAGAAGATTACATAATTTATCTTTTTGCCTCTGAGGAAAGGCAAGACGGACATTTAATCAGATGCTACTGGCACCATTAGTATCGGAACTCTTCGTTGGCTGCTGAAGATTGGGGACGGAGCGCTTATGGGAATGCCCCGAGTGCTGTGTTGTCGGTTCTTGAATCAACTCAAAACTCAACTCAGCTCTGACGAATGACGTTCAACTACCACTAGGACGAGCAATGAACACCCGGTGACACAAAGTGCCACTATTCAAATGAGGATTACCTGGGTACAAGAATCAGAAACCCACTTCAAACGTTAGGTTATATTAGGGCTCCCGACTGCAGCCGGGTGGGGCTTTAAAATGTATTGGAGCGGGCGATATTTGCCTCTGACGCTTCCAAATAATTTGTCAAGATTCTTCAAACTGTTTGTGAATGGCTTCCTTAAATGAATTATTCATTCCTCATCGCTCCCAGAGGCACATAAGGCAAAGACAAACTGTTGCCACTCAATTCGATCCTGAAACATCCTCTTCCTCGCTGTCCTTGTGGTGTCCATTGCATTGCCCGTCTCAGCCGTCTCTTTTTCTTCATTCTGATGAAGTGTCTTATCCACCTCCATCTTGGCTTTTTTTTTTTCTAAGTTTACATTTTCTAGGTTTGTTATTTGTTGTAATCAAGAATTGCTGTTTAATCTTCGCATGTGAACCCCAACAATGTTCTGAGAAGTCTTACCTCAAAACCTCTGAGTATGCTCTCTATCTTTCTGTCTGTTTTTCCAATTTTCTGCTCCATAGAGGAGAACTGTCCTAACGCAGGTTTTTTTATATCCTGAGTTTAGTTTTAGTGCCTACTTAAAAGAATTAAAAGAGTGTTTCCATCAATAATAATTTTCCATATTTTATTATTATTATAACAGAGAGGAGTAGTGTCAATCAGCGCATATCAAAAGCAGGCACAATCAAGTTACTGTGCAAATCAAACACACCAATTAACAATAACATGAACATGTGTCTCAGAGCTTTAGCTAGCCAGAGAGAGAGAGACGCGATTTTTCTCGGACACGCTTCAGTTAAGTGATTTTTCTGTATTCTTGTTAGCAAATGTAACATTATCTACTCATGTCAAGTACTGTTGAAGCTTTCTAGCCAAAACATTCGCTTGTCATGTTTGAGTTTGATAATGTGAAGCTTATTTTACTTTTCGTTTGGTTTAAAATCTTTTTAATAACACAAACAATAAAAGGGACATAACACTACAAATAAAAAATGTCAACAACAAAATTATTGGTGACCTCCCTTGTCACGCAAAAATGACATGGCTTTCAAGGTGATTCGAGTTCTGTGGTAGTTAGTTCGGATCCTGATGAAGAACTGTCTGGTTGTCAGAAATGGTTAGACAGCTCTTCCCGGGGAAGGTCTCTGGTTGCGGCTATTTCTGTTGTTGGTGAAGGGCCACTTGTTCTTGTCAACGTTGCCAAAGGTGTCGGTTTGTGGCTGAATGACCTGTGTGAATAGTAGTATCAATAGCTCATCAAATCACCTCAGAAACAATTCGTCAGCTTGAAGCCTCAGAATCCATAGGGGCCTCAAAATTGTTTTCACAGAGGCAGTGATATATATATATATATATATATATATATATATATATATATATATATATATATATATATATATATATATATATATGTATGTATATGTATATATATGTACACACACACACACACACATATATATATATATATATATATATATATATATATATATATATATATACATATATATGTAAATATATATATAGATGTATATCTGTGTGTGTGTATATATATATGTGTGTGTGTGTGTGTGTGTAAATATTGGGGCTGTACCGAATAGTGATTTTCGCTATTCGGCCGAATACGAATAGCTACACCGACTATTCGGCCGAATACGAATACGAATAGTGAATCATCATCATCATCGCGTACTTTGCCGACTGGTATGGGCGATTATGCCTCGCCACAATCTGCTATCTCCTGCAGCATGTATTAGTTCGTGTGCCCACACACCACCATGCCATGCAACAAGACTGTCAAGAATCTTCTCTCGTTGTCATCCTCCATCCCTCCTTCCATAGATTTTTCCAGTGGTCACAACTTGCTATATTTTCCCTCATCCTATAACATGGCCGAAAAATGATGACTGTCTGCATCTGATGTTTGTGATAAGTTGTCTTCGTGTTCCCGTCTCTTTCAAAACCTCCTGGTTGCTTTTTTTTTGGGGGGGGGGGGGGGGGGGGGCTGGAGGGGGGGGGGGGGCTCTGCATTGCTCTGTAAAACCACATCTCTGAGGCCTCAAGAAATTGTTTGGCCTGCCTACCGATTGTCCAGGACCTACAGCCATATGTTAAAACTGGATGTATGTAGCAAGCAAGAATTCTTTTTCTAACTTTCAATGACAAGGATATATTGCATAAGATGTTCTTCATTTTATAAAATGCAATTTTTGACTGTCTTAGTCTATTTCTTATTTCAGTAATGCATCTTCCATCTGATATTATCCATGTGCCCAGATACTTAAATTTCTGTACTTGTCCAAAAATAAAACCATTGACTTTTATTACACATTTAGTAATAACTATTTTCTATGATCCCACCATTACTTCTGTCTTCCCACTATTCAAACTAAGGCCCATTCTTCCACTTTTGTGTATAAAATAGATCTACCAAAAAAAAAAAAAAAAAAACATCCATAATGTCAAATAAACACTGAAATTTTACTTCACATAATGTAGTACAGAATAGTAAACATTTAAAAACATTTCATTTTTTGCATCCTTCAGTCAGTCAGTCTGTGGTAACTAATACCTAGGAATGAAAGTATTCTTAGTTTTATAACAAGTAACTAAACTTATAAATTGTCACTGACAGCTTAGTTAATTCATGAAAGCGCCATTAGCTTTCAAAAAAAAAAAAAAACATTTCATGTTGTCAGCATTAAGGTAGATTCTTTTCTCACTGAAGCTGTACTAAACAGACGTTCACTTGGTACGCTTGTAGGTGGTGCACAAAGATAACGTTAAAAAAGTATGAACCAAGGTGGGAAATCTTGATATGTTTATTTGCCACCAGTCCAGAAACGGGTGTAATGTAACCACTGTTCGTATTCGGCCCGACCGCTACTACTCGGCCGAATACCGAATAGTTATTAAGTCCACTATTCGGCCCCGAAGCGAATACGAAGCGAGTATTCGGTACAGCCCTAGTACATATATATATATGTTTGTGTGTGTGTGTGTGTGTGTGTATATGTAAATATATATATATAATTCCATTATTATTATTTTGGATATATTATGTCAGGCTTCTATTTATTCTAGCTTCAGTCACCATCATTTAGCAGGTCCTTTGCAGAACGTCGCTCTCATCAAGGTCTGCCTGAAAGAGACTCGGTCTCTTGCCAGCTTCTCCGCCTCATGTACTTTCATACTCAAGGAGTCACGTATATCCTATGCCCCTCCTTCCTGGTACCATGCCTCCTGCTGTTATTTTTTTTTTGTCCAATCCGCCATGGCGCTTGATATGACCAAATTATTTCAGCTTCCGAGAAAGGATACTGTTTTTTTAGCCAATCTTCCTTGATGTTCAGATCTTAGGAAATTACAGTATTTCTACTTTGCCCATATTACTCTGAGAATCTTTCTAACGTATTTCAGGTCAAATGCCCGTATTTCCCTTTACTGAGACTGAGATATAGTACACTACTCACATCTCTATTTTGCTGCAGGCAGGGTGCATGCTATCGAAAGTTTAATTTTTATCTCCTTGCTGCCGCGAGCAAGCATGTCATAAAAAGCGACTAACTAGGGGTGTTTCCAGCGAAATTGTACTGCATTACGCATCCCACGTTGCATGGGACATCTTTTCTTCTTCTTCTTCTTCTTCTTCTTCTTCTTCTTCTTCTTCTTCTTCTTCTTCTTCTTCTTCTTCTTCTTCTTCTTCTTCTTCTTCTTCTTCTTCTTCTTCTTCTTCTTCTTCTTCTTCTTCTTCTTCTTCTTCTTCTTCTTCTTCTTCTTCTTCTTCTTTAGTTAGCTTGTAATATATATTACCTATATCTACAATGTTGTCGCTAGTATGAAACATGGGACTGAATGAGGTAATCCATTTGTTTCCCATTTCAATGCTTGTTTGCTGGTGATTAACTTCCCTTTCTCTTGAAACTCTCTCCAATGCAGAGCGGTCTTCGTGTCTCTAAACTGATACTCAAAGAGAAATCTATAAAGATGAATAAATTACCTGGCGACCATCCACAGTTTCCGTCCCTGGGAGAACTGGCCCATCCACGTGCTGTGGAAATAATTAAATATGGCAAACATTACAAAACAAAAACAGAGAAACTGAGTGTAAATAATTAGATACAAAATATACACGTGTTTCCGTAAATTCCTATGTGGTGGCACTTCGCGATTTACAATGACTCTACGAACACCGTGAAAATATTATTTGAGCGGAATCTTCTTCTTCTGCTCGTTTACCGGTTGTGAATTCCAGCGGAAGGTCCCGGTAGTTCGTCCATTTGGACTTTTGGCTTTTACCCTGACCTGAGTTTTGCGTGTACATCCGTTTTACTGGTTTATTTGTTTGCCGTTCCCTGCCTCACCGGCAGATGTACTCCAATGGATGTTCACATGTAAGTAAAAAAGGTACGGCATTTTTATGCTTGGGTGTGAATTCTGAGATCCATAAACATTACACATTTTTTGTGTATTTAGTGAGATAGATAATCGTTATAATTTTACATGCAAACAAAGGGAAAGAAAAATATTTTAATATGTGTAAATAGTAAAAGCAGAATAGGTCAAGCGAAGGCAGTATTTGAGAAAATCAAAATATCTTATGCAATAAGTCGCTCTCATTTAATGTCAGCAAAAGGGCGCTTAAATGTTACACAGAACCTGTTCTGCTGTGCGGCAGCTAATCTTGGGACGTCAATAAACAAATAAAGAAGAATTTGATAGCAGCAGAAATATGGTTTCTGAGAAGAATGTTACGAATACCTTGGACGGCCAGAGTAACTAACAACGATTGTTTGAAAGAAGCTAATGTAAGTAGATCTCTGTATGTTACAAAAAGAAAGCGACGAACACTGTTCTTTGGCCACATAATGAGAAGAGAGACATTGGAGAACAACGTGACAACTGGAAAGATCAGTGGAAAGAGGGGTAAAGACAGACCAAGAGAGACGATGCTGGATGGGCTGAAACGATGGCATGGAGGGATATCATCAAGAGAGATGATGCTGGATGTGTTGAAACGATGACATGGAGGGATATCATCAAGAGAGATGATGCTGGATGGGTTGAAACGATGACATGGAGGGGTATCATCAAGCTAGATGATGCTGGATGGGTTGAAACGATGACATGGAAGGATATCATCAAGAGAGATGATGCTGGATGGGTTGAAACAATGGCATGGAGTGATATCATCAAGAGAGATGATGCTGGATGGGTTGAAACGATGGCATGAAGGGATATCATCAAGAGAGATGATGCTGGATGGGTTGAAACGATGGCATGGAGGGATATCATCAAGAGAGATGATGCTGGGTGGGTTGAAACGATGACATGGAGGGATATCATCAAGAGAGATGATGCTGGATGGGTTGAAACGATGACATGGAGGGATATCATCAAGAGAGCTGTTCCAGACAACCAGGGATCGTGATCTGTGGAGACGCATGAGCACCAACGCCAACTGGCAAGGCGCATGGTGATGATGAAATACTAGAATACACAAAAAAGAACTTGTGTGTAAATAATTAAATACGTAAACTTTGAACTTCAGTATAAACACACAAACACACACACACACACACACACACACACACATAAAGTGAACTTCTGTGTAAGTAGTGTAATAAAGGTTAGTTGCGTATCCTTTACAGGACGTTGCAGAACCAACCCCAATAGCCCCTGGCTGTTGTATGGCTTTTCTAGGCAAATTTACGTCCAGTAGTTTGCCATTGCTCCCTGGACGGTCGGCTCTCTTGATACCACTGTCGAAACCAACGCAAGGCGCATGGCCCGCAGCTGGGATCGAACCCGGCATCCCGGCATTACGAAGCGTTCGCATCGACTTAGCCACAAAACCGACAAATAGTGTAACAGGAAATCAGTATACTTGTGTGTCAAGACGCAGATACTATAATGTATACGTAGCATGGACTCAATTCCCCTCCCCCTCCCCCCCCCCCCCCCCAACCCTTCCTTTGCCTCCCAACCTCACCACATAAAGATATCCAGCATAAAAAAAATTTACTATGTATATTGTCTATTGGTGTGATGTGGGTTATAGCTTGGTTCCGAGATCTCCATCTTTCGGCCCATCACGTTCGATCTTCATCATCAAGTGCCTTGCTGACTGGTGCGGGTGATCATGACTCTCCACAATCTGCGATTTGCAACTGCGTTTATCAGTTCGTATGTCTTCATCATCAAGTGCCTTGCCGACTGGTGCGGGTGATCATGACTCTCCACAATCTGCGATTTGCAACTGCGTGTATCAGTTCGTATGTTGATTTACTGGAGCTGCAATAAATGAGCTTGCTGTCAACCTGATTGTCGACTTAATATATGAGTTTCTACTAATTTAGCCACACGAGGAAATGGGAAACCAAGGTCGCTGGAGTCAAAGACAGAAGCAAAGAGTAATATCAATGCCCAACCCCAGCACTTTTTGGCTGTTGTGGCTTTTCTAGGCAAACTTTACGGTACTACTCACGTTTTACGGCCCATCTACCCACTGGCTGACCTTTCATGTATGCTTGCCCCGACTAGTCTACGTCGGATTGGTGTCACGTTGTCTTGCCTCCAGTTACATCAGCGCTGATATCTCGTGTGCTATACTACACGACGACACAGCTTTCAACGACTCCAGAATATCTAAAACCAGCCATAACACCCCCCCCCCCCCCCCCCCATTCCACAGCCTTAGCATAGGTCCCACGAGAGACTTTTTTCGAAGAAAAAAGTACAACGTGACACTCCTCTGACCTCGACCAGAATGAAAAAGTGTGTAGATGGGTCGGGAATCGTGAATAGTGTCAATTTTACGTACGTTAGTTTCCCATTGCTTTTGAAAAGTCAGCTTTCGGTAACACTGTCGAAAAATCACCCCAAGACACTAGTCCGCAACGGGGATCGAACCCAGCACCCCCGCATTACGAAGCGCGCTCCCAACGACTAAGCCAGTATACTGCTGGTAAACAACATACCCCAGTAAAGGTTCCACAAGGAGGGGAAACTTGCGTCGGCGGCAGGCATCGTTGTTGGGGCTCATCGTAGACAGTACCTAGGGAGTCAAAGAAAAAACATTCTCAAACAGCTCATTTTCAGTTGTCACTTTAAGACAGGTTTTTAAAAGACATCAGTTTGGGAAAGCTCAGTTTCAGTTGTCACTTTATTAAGACAGCTAATTTAAAGACATCAGTTTAGGAAAGCTCAGTTTTAGTTGTCACTTTAAGACAGGTAATTAAAAGACATCATTTTAGGAAAGCTCAGTTTCAGTTGTCACTTTAAGACAGCTAATTTAAAGACATCAGTTTAGGAAAGTTCAGTTTCAGTTGTCACTTTAAGACAGCTTTTTTAAAGACATCAGTTTAGGAAAACTAAGTTTCAGTTGTCACTTTAAGACAGATAATTTAAAGACATACGTTTAGGAAAACTAAGTTTCAGTTGTCACTTTAAGACAGATAATTCGAAGACATCACTTTAAGACAGCTAATTCGAAGACATAACTTTTAGAAAGATCTTTTTCAGACATCGCATTGAGACAGCTTTTTGAAGGCATCACTTTGAGACGGCTAATTTGATGACATCACTTTCAGAAAGAGAGTTTTCAGTTATTACTTTAAGACAGCTTTTTTTAAAACATCATTTTAAGATGGCTAATTTAAAGACATCATTTTGAGACAGTTAATCTGAAGACATTACTTTAAGACAGCTAATTTGAAGACATCACTTTAAAACCATTAATCTGAATACATCATTTTATAGCTTATTCGAAGTCATCATATAAGGCAACTCCTTTTAAGACAACACTTTACAACAAATCATTTGAAGACATAATTTAAGACAGCTCATTTTGGTAACACACCTCATTGTAAGACACAACACTCTAAGGCACTCCAAGACACTTCCTTGTACGACGTCTGTCTTCTAGAAGTCTAATACACCTCACTGTGAGACACGCTACTCTAAGACAACCTAAGACACCTCACTGTAAAACTGCTCACTAAAAGACCTTATAAGACCACTGTTTAAGACACTCTAAGGCAGCCTAAGACACCTCACTGTAACAACCTCACTCTAAGAGTCTATAAGAACCATTGTGTAAGACACTCTAACTAAGACTCGAAACCTTAAGGCATCCTAAGGCTCCTCACTTAACAACCTCACTCTGAGACTATATAAAAACCATTGTGTAAGACACTCTAAGACTCTACACTCTATGGCAGCCTAAGACACCTCACTGTAATAACCTCATTCTAACACTCTATAGAAACCACTGTGTAAGACACTCCAAGACTCTTCACTTTAAGTCTTTCTAAAAATCCTCACTGTAACAACCTCACTCTAAGGCTCTCTAAAACTCTACACTCTAAGACAGCTCACCTTCGGGACACCTTTGATGGCCTAGGTATCTGCCGTAAGCACAGGTGTAGTAGAACGTGCATGGGGGCAGGGCCTCCACGGGGTCAGCGTTCCGGTCTGGGTAGCGGAGTCCTGGACCTTTGTAGATGAGGCATTCCTCGGGTACACTGTTGCAGGGATAGGTCACTGCCTGTGAGTTGCTGAAATATGCGAATAAAGTTACTTTTTATCTGTTTTATCTGTGTGCATATGGCTGTGAAAGTAAAGTATGAAAGTGAAGGACCCTTTTCCAAGCCTTCGGGCGTAGTGGGCACATAGGGCTAGACCTTTTTTAGACACCAATCGTTATTTGATGGTTGATGTGGTCAGCATACCGCCGGTTGCCTTACCTTCACAGGAATGTACCTGGTGTCCATTTGAGATTACGTCGACCTGGACGCCAAGGTCATTTTTGAAAAAAAAAAAAAAGTTCGAATCAAACAGGACCCAAACCCTCGACGTTCCGATCCGCGGGCGCGCGTCTAACCGCTAGTCACGGTCGCTTCACATGTTTTTGAAACGTGGACCTTTACATTTAGACTCGAAAAGAAGATACAAGCATTGAAAAATGAGATCTTTCAGAAGAATCTTTGGCATATCATACAGAGACCACATCACAAATGACAAGGTTTGCCGTATATTTACCCAGTACATTGGTAGCTATGAACATCTTGTTTAGCGACAAGGGAAAGATCTAAAATATAATGTTACAGAGATGTAACAAGTGATAAAGGCATCTGGAAAAACAAACTTATATCACAGGACGCAGCAGAGGCGAAGAGGAGAACAAGCAGACCAGAAAAAGACATGTATACAGAACTTAACTGGACAGGCCTCGGGCCGTCAGCCATGAGGTCCATTGCAGCGTATTGTTCTGTTTGTTCTTGTTCTTGTTCTTATTTGCGTTCACCAGCTGTAAACTATTGCGGAAAGTTTTGGCTGCTCGCCAACTTCTGGACTGCAGTCCTGATCCAGAACCTGAGAGTTGCGTGTGCATCCGTTTGACAGATCTGACTCATTTGTATGCAGACTTCTGGTTCCTTGCCTCTCAGGCAGATGTACTTCGACTTTGAAGGAGGCTCCCAGTAAGTCGACTCTTACGGTCAGAACGAGAGTCAGAATTGACTTAAGCATGTCGTAAAAAACGACTAATAAGAGTTTTTTTTCATTGGAAGTCGAAGTGCATCTACATGAGACCAGGAACCAACAGACTGCATTAAAAAAAGCCAGATCTGTAAAAATGGATGAGCACGCCTAGAAGTGGACGAACCCCCATAATTTTCCGCAGGAGATTTCAGCTGTTGAATACTATGAAGAACCGCTTACAGGAGATGGGGAATGGGCGGTTTTGGGAAGGGAGAGGGGCTGGGGGGCTTTGTGGTTGTGGTCAAGCGTGTTGCCTCGCGCTCTGATGGTCTTGTGTTTGTTTCACAGACTGCTTCGTGCAAAACAAAGTGAGTAAAGGACCCTTCTTTTCCACGCCTTTAGGCGTATAGGGCATATAAGGCTAGACCTATATTTTTAAAGGCCAATCGGCCCAAAATGGGTGATATGGTCAGCATCACGTCGGCCGCCTTTACTTCCACGGACTGCACCCGATGCCCACTCAAGGCAGGGTCGACATAGGAGTCTAGGTCATTTTTGAAAAAAGTCCGGCTCCGCCAGGGAGCACACCCACGACCTTCCGATCCTCGGCGAGCGTCTAGCCGCTCGGCCACGGCAATTCCCCTGTATCGTACTAATCCAGAGTTTGTCATGATCACCGGAATCCACGAAGATCATAGAGATCCAGTCCTGTTGATGTCCGACGTAGAGCGGTCTTGTGCAGCAGTTTCCCACGTGTCAGGTTTATGTTGAGTTGAGTCAAGAATTTACATCACAGCACTCAGGGCATTCCCATGCGTGCTCTGTCCCCATCTTCAGCAGCCAGCGCAGAGTTCCAATACCGATGGTACCGGTCACAATCTGGTTACAAGTCTGTCTTGCCTTTCCTCTGAGTGTAGTGAGCCGGCCAGACCCTCTGGCTACACTCAGGTGCCTTACTCTCTTTAGGCTCTCATAATAATCTTCTTTCTCTACTAATTCTGTTGCTTGTTCCCAAACGGCCTTAACCACATCTACCTTGCCATGTATCAATTCAGGTTTGTGTTGAAGGTTTTAGGTGATGACTTTAGAGTGTACTTGAAACTTATATTTTTGCCACCACGCCACCTTTTTGTACCTCAATATAGTTAGAAATGTGCCCATTCCATTGCTTGTCTTGAATATTTTATTGCTATTGATAATGTTTACTATTAAATGATGTATGAAAGAAATGATGCTAGACGGGCCTGCGTGCCCAATTCTCAACCCTTTAAAAAAAAAGTTTCTTCGTTCGTTCATTCGTTCGTTCACCATACAAAATTATTTTTGAGGGTCGATGGTCTGTCAAGCAGATGACGTAATCTGCCTAACGAATCTGTTCTTGCATAAGGCGCATTTTACCATACAAGATAATGTTTTGCGAGTCGATAGTCTGACAAGCGGGCGACGTGACCTGCCCAACGATTCTGTGATTGCATCAGGATGGTATCGATGCTGGAAATGCCTTGATTAGCAAGGCGCCCATTTCATCGTGAAAGCCAGTGTTGCCACTTTGGATGTTTTACATCCAGATTTAGATGTTTTTCCTTGTCTTTAGATGGCGTTTTTGACGTTTAGATGGTAGATGTTTCTAGATGTTTTTTCATTGGGGGTGAATTTATCAAATATAACCTAAGAAACAGGATGAAATTGGAGCTTTTTTAAAATGCTATATTAACAATAAAATTCGACCTGAGTAGGAAAAGGCTGTTCCACTTATCAGCTTCCTGATTGAGTATTAAAAGAAATTGGAACAGCTAACGCATACAAGAGTCATTTTTGGGTCTGAAGCCCTCAACTTTATCATCCAAGCTAAGTTTTATCTTTTTAAGGCAGACTTCAGTAAAGATGAGGACACGATTCTATAGGGTAAGTCATATCAATTGCTATGTAATTTGTGACTCTTTCCTTTTGCATGTTTTTTCTAGATGTTTTCCACGCAAATTTAGATGTTTTTATATACTTTTTGACTCCGTTTTGGATGTTTTTTGTCAAAGAAAAGTGGCAACACTGGTGAAAGCACCGGAACAACTATCCCAGCGTCCCCGTGCGTTACATAACCGCCATTGGTATTAAGTACTGGAAAGTAGGTAAGAACTTACTGGGTACAATCTCCAGTTCTCCTGTCGTAGCTGGTTCCATTGACGCAGTCGATCTGAGAGTAACGCCCGCCTCGACAGATGCCGTAGGAACCACACGCCCACCAGTAGAGGAAGTTTTCGGGGAGGCCAGTGCAGTCGTAATCGAAGTCGGTGGGCAGCGCCCAGCTGGAACCTGTGGGTAGAACACATGAGAATAATATTCATAAAAGCTCACTGATGGACAGGGTGATAACAAGTGTGCCATGGGAACAGTTAGCATCTACACCGTAAGACATTTCCTGCAGGAGACAGAGCATCTATGCGTATGCCCGAGGTGCTATAATGTATATTCTGAAATCAGTAACTGAAAAACGCTCGCCTCTGTATCCGAAGGTCGTGGGTTCAAGTCCTGTCGCAAGCCATTTTTTTTTCAAAAATGACCGTCGTAGGCTGTTTTTATAAGGTTGTTTTGAAAGACGCGGTATGATCCACGATAACCTCCCCACGGTACACACTAGCTCACCTCTGATTGGTCGGCCTCTAGTCAGCCGACCTTCGCACACTGCTAGAGGTGTGTTCGGCACTGCGTTGATATCACGTGTTGTATATTTAAGCACGCCACTGCTATCAATACTACAAAAACATTTAGAAACTGGGTCTAACCAACATTCTCCCTAGATTTTGCTACAACCTAAGTCACAGGCATTCCGTTTTGTTTTTGGAAGAAAAGTGTAAATGCAAGACATGCCAGATCCCCTTACAACACGAGTCTACAAAATCTATGAATGGAACGCTACGATTATCGTGGATCTCACCAAAGACGCATATGAATATGAACACTGTTCAGCCTATATTCTTACTAACGCGATGCAATGAATGTCAAACATGGACATTGTCTTCACAAGACAGAAGAAAAATAGTCACGACAGAAATGAAATGTTTACGTACTATGCTAGGTATAACGAGGAAAGATCGACTTAGGAACGATGAAATCAGGAGGAGAGTCGGCACTGAACCGTGAACTTTATTGGTAGACAACAAATCAAATGGTTTGACCGCAATGCATTGTTAGTCATGTCTTTCCATATACTTCTGTCTCATGTACTTTTTATCAATTCTGACATATATGATTTTCTATAGTCTATGCCGCGTAGCGCAGGCAGTCATGTATATCCACAACATGATTTCTCGTGAACTTTAATAAATGTCTAACACAGATGGTCTTCCATAGTCCATGCCATGTGGCGCAGTTAGTCATGTCTATTCACAACCTTCTGTCTCGTGTACTTTCAATCATCTCTGACACAGATGGTCTTCCATAGTCCATGCCATGTGGCGCAGTTTAGTCATGTCTATTCACAACCTTCATTCTCGTGTACTTTCAATAATTTCTCACACAGATGGTCTTCCATAGTCCATGCCATGTGGCGCAGTTAGTCATGTCTATTCACAACCTTCTGGCTCGTGTACTTTCAATAATCTCTGACACAGATGGTCTTCCATAGTCCATGCCATGTGGCGCAGTTAGTCATGTCTATTCACAACCTTCATTCTCGTGTACTTTCAATAATTTCTCACACAGATTGTCTTCCATAAGTCCATGCCATGTGGGGCGCAGTTAGTTTCCATGGTCTATTCACAACCTTCATTCTCGTGTACTTTCAATAATTTCTGACACAGATGGTCTTCCATAGTCCATGCCATGTGGCGCAGTTAGTCATGTCTATTCACAACCTTCTGTCTCGTGTACTTTCAATCATCTCTGACACAGATGGTCTTCCATAGTCCATGCCATGTGGCGCAGTTAGTCATGTCTATTCACAACCTTCATTCTCGTGTACTTTCAATAATTTCTCACACAGATGGTCTTCCATAGTCCATGCCATGTGGCGCAGTTAGTCATGTCTATTCACAACCTTCTGTCTCGTGTACTTTCAATAATCTCTGACACAGATGGTCTTCCATAGCCCATGCCATGTGGCGCAGTTAGTCATGTCTATTCACAACCTTCATTCTCGTGTACTTTCAATAATTTCTCACACAGATTGTCTTCCATAGTCCATGCCATGTGGCGCAGTTAGTCATGTCTATTCACAACTTTCTGTCTCGTGTACTTTCAATAATTTCTGACACAGATGGTCTTCCATAGTCCATGCCATGTGGTGCAGATAGTCATGTCTATCCACAACCTTCTGTCTCGTGTACTTTCAATAATCTCTCACACAGATGGTCTTCCATAGTCCATGCCATGTGGCGCAGTTAGTCATGTCTATTCACAACCTTCTGTCTCGTGTACTTTCAATAATTTCTGACACAGATGGTCTTCCATAGTCCATGCCATGTGGTGCAGATAGTCATGTCTATCCACAACCTTCTGTCTCGTGTACTTTCAATAATCTCTGACACAGATGGTCTTCCATAGTCCATGCCATGTGGCGCAGTTAGTCATGTCTATTCACAACCTTCATTCTCGTGTACTTTCAATAATTTCTCACACAGATGGTCTTCCATGGTCCATGCCATGTGGTGCAAATAGTCATGTCTATCCACAACCTTCTGTCTCGTGTATTTTCAATTATTTCTGACACAGACGGCATGCCATGATGTTAGATTGCCCAGCATTTTCTTTCTCTGTCTTTCTCTGCTTCCTTCCCATATTCACAGTATATTCAATTTTTCTGCTTCTGATGTGGGCAATCCGCTCTCTTCGTAAGTCAGTTTCTTTCCAGACATCTTCATTGCTCTCTTTGTCAGAATTTCTTGTGAATATGGCAGCGGAGTATGTTATGTACAACGGTGTTCTGCTTTTATGTGAAGAGGTAGATCTAGTCTTTATGAATGCGTTCAGTGTGGAAAATGTTCCAACAGGTTTTGATATCATCCTTGATATGGGTTGTCTTTTCCTAAAAAACTACGTCCTACATGTGACTGTATTACTCTCGATGGGCTCTGTGGTCTCGATGTATGGCATCCGCCTGGGATGCTGGAGGTCACGCGTTCAGAAATAGGCGTGGGACGACTGTTATATAAATTGAATTAGGCCTATTTAAGCGAACTAAAAACCTGGCCAACTTGGGGGTCAGGAAGTGATAAAACAGACGGGAGTGACCATTTTCGCTCTCTTAAGCCTCTATTTTTCGGACGAGAAACATGTAGTTCTGATTTGTCCGTTGCGTTCAATGGTTTTACGCAACGTGGTTTGAGGTGTATAGGCAGAGAGATAGGTTCTATCTGTTGTAGGGTATTTTCTAACACGTTGTGAATTGTAATGCATTATTATTTGTGAAGACCTTAGATGATGTTCAGTGGAATAAATAGATGTGAATGTGATAATGATAGTCCCAGCTTTTTTATTCGGATTAGTACTTGTGGCTAGTGTGCGTAGTTTGTTTATTTGTTACCTGGCTTATTAGACTTTACACAGAAGATCTCGTGTCTGGACTAGAATATTCTTGTTTCTAGTCCCCACCTAACGAACTATTTTCCTTTATTTTTATCTTAGTACTTAGGGCTTCTCCGCCCTAGTACATTATGTACAACGGTGTTCTGCTTTTATGTGAAGAGGTAGATCTAGTCTTTATGAATGCGTTCAGTGTGGAAAATGTTCCAACAGGTTTTGATATCATCCTTGATATGGGTTGTCTTTTCCTAAAAACTACGTCCTACATGTGACTGTATTACTCTCAATGGGCTCTGTGGTCTCGATGTATGGCATCCGCCTGGGATGCTGGAGGTCACGCGTTCAAATCCCGGTGAAGTTTAGGATTTTTGCACTTGGACTAGTAATTTTACCTAGTCTCTGGGTATTAAGATGGGACGCCTGTGTGTATTGCTGCGAACGTAAAAAATACCATGGAAGTTGGAAATTAAAAAATAGTAGCCTAACGGCAAAATTTGGAGTTGAAAAGCTACCCAATTTCAGAATCCTCGCCGGTGCAACGGAGTTCGTGCACAGCGATGAGATTCTTCAGACTCAGGCTTTAGATAGAAGTAGAACGGAGCACTTAAGTGTTGCACCCGTTTGTCGTGAGGTTGATCCGTCGAGTAAACCAGACTAAACCACCTTTTCTATGTAGCCTCTTTTTTCATGTCGCGCAATGTTCCAGTCGCCTTTGATCCTCTGTAGAACAGTCTGGATAGGTGAACTAATGAGTCTTTTTCTTTTTTGCGTTCATTGGCTGTAAACTCATGCGGAAAGTTCTGGTTGTTCGTCCACTTCTCGACTTTCGTCTTGTTCCAGAACTTGTCTGTTTGCCTGTACATACGTTTTAGAGATCTGACTGATTTCTGCGCACTGTTGGTTTTTTACCTTTCAGAAAGATGCACTCCTCCTTCTAAGGAAACAGTTTCTTCCTAATAAGTCGATTTGTACTCAATGTTTGTTAGGGGGTACTGGATGTGTGTTTCCCCCCCCCCCATCCCCCCCCTTTCTTCCTGAATAGAGCCCCAAAAACGCACACGTCAAAGTTAACAAATGTCATTCACCAAAGATCTACGCTTGTTCAGCTAAAGCGGCTTATGAATGGGTGAGATAAGCACACAAGCCTGATCCGGGATTTTCCCGATCGTCTAAGATAGGGAAGCATGATATCATAGACGATCTCTAAACATGGCATAACCATCGACACGTTAGGATCATAGAGGTGTATCCATGGAAGCACTAACACACATAACCTATCATCTTTCTCTGTCTCCGCTTGATGAATTAATGTATGACAACATAGTCCTGTCCATTTCCTGATGTTGTCATTCTAGATTCTTCTTTTTCCTCGTCTTCTTCATTACCCCTCAGTTTTCCCCGAAGTACAGACTTTGCATTTGAATTATGTCTCACCACGTGCCCAAACCAATTCGTGTGTATTCTAGTGCATATGCTGAGACAGCAGTCTGTCAATCTTTTCACAAGGGACAGTGATAAACATTCTGTGTGTTTTTCGTTGGCACAGGAGCAGAGCATCTATGGAACGACTTGTTTGCTATGAAGCTGAAACTAAGATTACCAGATTACCAGACCACGTGTCCAAACCAAGCTAGCCTGTGACGTCTTACCACTGCCAAGAGAAACTCCTGATGTCCTGCAAAATTGTATATTTTGTCTTTGACATTTTTGTTTTGGGCTCTAAATGCTTTAAAGCAGTATCTTTCAACCTTCCTAATGCCTCGATCCTTTAATACAGTTCTTCAAGTTATGGCGACCCCCACCATATAATTATTTTCGTTGCTACTTAAAATCTTCAAAAAATATGTGTTTTTCGATGGTCTTTGGAGACCTCTTTGAAAGAGTCGTTGGATCCACACACAAAAAAGGGCCAGGTTGAGAATCGTTGCTCTACATCGCATAATTGTAAAGATGATGATATTAAGAATGAGGACAACGACGACGAAAATGAAGATACAGATGTTACTACGTCTAGTACTTACATATAACTGAGACAAACAGCAGGCACAGTTTGAAATACATCGTGTTCGGCTAATACTGTCACGGCGTCTCCTGGACAACAATGAGATGAGAAAGCACCTGCCTCGTCTCCTGCACCAGTTTATATAGGTCTCCGTCAACTGTCAGTTAGCCCTTGGCTTTGGGCCCTGGGCCTACTGTGTTGACCACACGCACATAGTCCGGATTTAGGGGCTGTTTGATTTGAGACCCGGGTTCAAGAGTTCTTCGGGCACTTCAAAGTCGTGGCCTAATGCCCCGAATGTACTTGCTGGTTTGTCTGTGTCTGTGTTTTAAGTGTGTAGATATTTTTTGTGGGTTAGGTAATAGTGTTTGTCTTTCTTTTACTTCTGCTTTTTAATGTGTTATTTCTTCCAATATTTGGTGAGATAGAGAGGACAATATTTGTTGAAAAAGAGAGGACAATATTCGTTGAGATAGACGGGACAATAAATGGTAAGATAGAGGGGACAATATTTGGTGAGATAGAGAGGACAATATTTGGTGAGATAGAGGGGACGATATTTGGTGAGTTAGAGGGGACAATATTTGGTGAGTTAGAGAGGACAATATATGGTGAGATAGAGGGGACAATATTTGTTGAGATAGAGAACAATATATGGTGAGATAGAGGGGACAATATTCGGTGAGATAGAGGGGACAATATTTGGTGAGATAGAGGGGACAATATTTGTTGAGATAGAGGTGACAATATTTGGTGAGATAGAGAGGACAATATTTCGTGAGATAGATGGGACAATATTTGTTGAGATAGAGAGGACCATTTCAGTCTATTTGCTCTCATGATGCCTCTAATCAGTGGTGGTTTAAACAGATTATGAATTTCGTTGTTGCTTCTCACTTTCCATTCACCGCTGTTTGCATCTTTAATGGGTTCAAAGATTCGTCTTAGGACTTTGTTTTTGAAAACCTGTAAAAGGGCTCTATCTCTTTTAGCGGTGCTCCAAGTTTCAGAGCCATAAAAAACGACAGGTGCTAAACTCTCTTTACTGTTCAATTTTACCAGGTGTCTAAAGCGTGATCTTTGGGAGAGAACTTAATGTTCTATTGGACCAAGAGGTGAGGAAAAGACGCTGTCGTTGGATAGGACACACATTGTGAAAACCTGAGGACAATATAACTAGAATGTCTTTGCACTGGAACCCACAGGGGCATTGAAATAAAGGAAGACCCACAAAAATTAAAACACGGAAAAGGGCGCTAGAGGGTGAAGTTAGAAATATGGGGAGAGCTGTATGCCAAAGCGAAGGATAGAACGACTTGGCGTGAGCTGGCTGTGGGCCTACGCTCCATTTAAGGTTAGAAAGACTGAAGAAAAAGAAATTGGGGGGAAAAGTGGGGGGGGGGGAATTTTTCATATAAGCAGTGATATTTTATCGGGTGCTAATCGCTTAGTGTGCAGTATTAGTGGCGCCCAACCACTCATTCATTTTTCTCTGCTCATAAAAACCATAATTATATCTTCTTCTTCTTCTTCTTCTTCTTCTTCTTCTTCTTCTTCTTCTTCTTCTTCTTCTTCTTCTTCTTCTTCTTCTTCTTCTTCTTCTTCTTCTTCTTCTTCTTCTTCTTCTTCTTCTTCTTCTTCTTCTTCTTCTTCTTCTTCTTCTTCTTCTTCTTCTTCTTCTTCTTCTTCTTCTTCTTCTTCTTCTTCTTCTTCTTCTTCTTCTTCTTCTTCTTCTTCTTCTTCTTCTTCTTCTTCTTCTTCTTCTTCTTCTTCTTCTTCTTCTTCTTCTTCTTCTTCTTCCCCGCGTTCAATATTATGAATTAATTAAGTAACAGAAAGTGTATTGAGCGGCATTCATAGAAAGAAGTAGATAGATAGAAGAACACACTAGACAACATAAAAATTGTAAGCTATGGTTACCGTGCCGGGAATTGAACCTGTCACCTCCAGACGGCGTCTGCGTCTCGCCATGAATACAAGTGCACTAAGAACATGGCTAACTTAAAAAAAAAGGTGTCTTATTGGCTATGTCTATCGTTCTTCTATCTTTCTACTTCTTTCTATGAGTGCCTATCAATACACTTTCTGTTACTTGATTAATTCACAGGCATTAAACTCACGCGGAAAGTTCTGCTTGCTCATCAACTTCTGGACTCTAGCCCTGTTCCAGAATCCGAATGGACATCCGTTTCACAGGTATGACTTATTTGCATGCAGACTTTTGCTCCTAGCCTCTCAGGCGGATGTACTATAACTTTGAATTAAGCTTCCATTTAGTCAACTCTTACGACATGCTTTAGGGCAAGCAGTGGGTCTGTTCTTGTTTTCCTCCACAAAGGGGCCCCGGAACCCACACGAGGAATAATTATATCATTTTCCCAAAACCATAGAGTATATAGATCTTAAAAGGAGGCCGAAGCAATCCCCAGGTTGGATTCCACTGCTGTCCCCTGTCACGATTATCTCCCCCTTGCCAGTAATAACGTCTGCTGGTTTGTTTATTCTCTGTGTAATTTTTTGGGGTGCCTTGTTAGTCTTGCGTGCCAGCACGTTCAGCTCCAATCCTTATGTCTAACCCGGGCGTCGTGCTGTGATCGGGGGCAGGTCATGCTAAGGGAAAAGGAATATCGGGCGGCAGGTTTATCGTGACCTGAAGTGTCCAGTAAGCTAAAATTACCCATCAAGGGAAAATAACTCTGAATGTGGGCCAGACAGCAGGGGAAGTCATCGTGTCTGTTATTAACTTCAAACAGTGAGTCCTCTGACAGCTTCAATTTTTTGGGTTTTTTCAAAACCCCAACCTGGCTGTTGCCGTGAGCCCTAATGCAACCCAAACTCTGAGTTGAACGGGGTTTCTGGGATCTGTCCCTGCGTGTGCTCATTCGAGTGGTGGCACTTTGTGCCACGGGGTGTTTATCTCTCAGTGTGATGTCCTGATAGGATTGAATGTCACTCACCCAGAGACAAAAGGTTGGGGATAGAGATAACTACCAACGCCATATGGCATGGACTTTAAAAAGATATGTGTCTAATTTGTACAAAAGCACTTTTTGTGATTTACATATTGTATGTGTCATACATCAGTTGCATTTAAAGCTAATTTTTTTTTTGCATTGTGCGTTGTAAATGCAAAACCATATCCTTCCACTCGTATCTGGACAAGAATAATTCCCGATAAGATCAATTATTTTATATGTTCCTGCTGAGTTCTGTTTATCAGACCGACACTGCGTAGCTGGCTGAACCTGACTTCGCGGAGACCGGGTGACAAACTTCTTGTGGTCCGAGTTCACGCCCGGGGTTAGGTAGAAAAGCCACATTTCTCATAGATAGACGATATTTATCATGGAATCAAGGCCGAAGAGTTGCGATATCCATAGTACCGAGCCAAAGGGTTGCCATATCCATAGTACCGAGCCAAAGAGTTGCGATATCCATAGTACCGAGCCAAAGGGTTGCGATATCCATAGTACCGAGCCAAAGGGTTAACAACTCATGGTTTCTGGATATTTGAAGAAAAAACACAGACCGGCACTCTATGATGATGATGATAATAATATAAATAATTATTATTATTAATGATATTATTATTATGCATTTTCTTCATCTCTCACTCCTTATTGATTGTTACTTGGAAACCCAAGGACGATTGACCTTGAATGGAAGGCCCGACCTACAGAACCCTTGGCAAACACTTAGCCAAAGATGACCACGTGCGCCTAAATACATTTATTGATGAATGATGATTAATTCATCCACTGAAATTAGTTTCTAATTAATTGAATTGCGGAATTCACAAATGTGTGTGTGTGTGTGTGTGTGTGTGTGTGTGTGTGTGTGTGTGTGTGTGTGTGAATGTTGTATGTATTATAATGTGTAGTTCGCTGTCGCTGACATTAATAATTCACTAGGTTTCGAATAGACACAAGCTGTGATAGAAAAGTGACGTGCACTTTGGGAGAAGAGGGAAAGAAGAGGACAGCAAGGAGAATAGGAGAAAACGAAGTGGGGACGGGAAAAATCTCAAAAAGTTATCTCGATGATAACGATGACGATGATGATGATAAGAATGCTGATGATGCTGATATATTTATCTAATTTATTCAATAATCTACCAGGAAAAGAGCGATTTCAAAACTCCATTTGTTGATCTTGTCTGTCCCGACATTGCCGTCACCTCACATGAAATCAATAATGTCACCATCTCAGTTAAAAAACTCACCGACAAAACGAAATTCAATAT